TATAATTATATTCATATAAGAAAAAAATATTAAATATATTACAAGAATTAAATAAATAAGCAGTAAAATAATCATAGAAAATATACAATAAATAAATAAACACTAATATTAATAGATCAGGGGAAAAAATGGGGTACCTATTGAGCATTTCCACTTTTACCAGAAATTTTCCGATGGGAGAAGGTTGTACCATTTGCAGAAAAACCGGAATTACCGGAATTTCCAATCTAATGATAAACAAACCTAATGCTCTGATTCGTCACCCCAAATCAACCCCGTCCCCAGGGTCCTCGATCCTGTTGTTGGCTGAACTATCGCATACGGTGATTGCTTTGTTAAAATGAGTTCATAATCATCATTCTCAAGCTTTTTTTTTGGTCTATTATCACTCGACTTTTAATAGACATGGAATTTTAAAAACATAGAACATTTGTTGGTAGAAGCTTCGAGACCTTCATTCTACCCTGCTGAACTGATTACACTGAGCTATATTTATCATGATTCTACGACAGGTGTGATCTCTAACCAGTGTGATATGATCGTCAAATCATGATTGGTTAAAAGAATAAGTATTAAGCATAGCTGAAACTAATGCTAATACATTAATATATCGTAAATGTATAGAAAAAATACAAGGAACATTTCTAACATAAGACTCTAAAGAATAACCCTAAAATAACTGAGCAAAGAGGTAAAAACTGTGTAGGGCGTAACCAGAGGTACAAATGCTAATGAAAGAAGCTAAATTCAATGCATACCAATATCTAAAGTCGTGCGTGATGATAGCTGTGTTGAAATGTTATATCGATGTTTTTATATAGCTAATGGACTAGAGATTGATAATTCTTATCTTGTTTTCTTAAGATAAACAGTGGTAATTAGAAAACTGATGTCTTGCTTAGTTCGTCTGTAAAAACATTCATTTTCTCTCTCATAACACATTTTCACGATGATATTTGTTTTGTTTCGGTTATCAGGTGATCAAAATCTCCAGAAATCTTGGACATTTTGATCACATAATCCAGCCAACACCAGGGTCTTCTCCGCGGCGACCGACATATTGAATTTGTAGTCGGCCGAGAGGACCCTGGGGACGAAATTGCCCACACACTTACTTGAAGTGTTCAACTGCAAATCCTAAAGTCACGTAAAACTTGGGAAAATCTTGGAATTTTTACTTTGCGCTGGAATACATTTTTATTTTTGTATTTTGAGGTTGGAATGGGGTTACCCTTAAGATATCGACCAGTATCATGCTTTATTCTTTTAACTCGTAGCAGGGTTCTTGCATAATGTCATCAACAAACCTTTCCGTGTTCGTGCTTCTGACATGCGCAGTAGCGTCCTACGCTCTCGGTCCTTACAGAGGTACTTGTAAAAAGATGGCGATTTTCAAAAAAGCCCAACAAGGTAATTAATTTAATATGAGAGAAAACAAAACCATTCTTCCAAGCTCTTTTTGCTTTACGTGTAGTATCAATTTAAAATATAGTAGATGAATTTTCATCCAATCCTCAGATCGAGCACTGAGTGGTCACGTAATATCGAACCATGACGTCACTTCCCGTTTCGACTGTGCTGACCAATGTCTTCAAACTAGTGGTTGTAAGTCGTACAATTACCAAGAAACAGGTTCTCCACTCCACGTATGTGAGCTGAGTAACCACACAAAGACCTCCGCGTCATCTGATTACGTCATCAAACCAGGCTTTACGTACTATGACGCTGAGCAGTTCGTAAGTACAAATTGTTATTTATATGTAACCAGGTTTAGTTGAAAGCTGGTTGAAAACATACTGGTTGAAGGTTTATTCGAGTTTGTTGCGTTACGTTTGTACTAGCCATATTTGGAATGATGATGTAAGTGATCACGCAACAGTATTCGTAATTTGAAGAATAAATCAGTTCTGCTCCAGATTTTGTGCTGTCTAGTTGTGTTTTTGTTTAGTTCAAGTTTTAGTTTTAGTTTCACTTATTTTCCTGCGACCTATCTTGGAAAAGACCTGCAATGAGTTTCATCATTCTTGCCGTCCAACATCCACTTGGTCACATATAATTAGAAATAATTAAGTATTAAGTTGTGATGTTTCATTTTCAGGTTTTACCCGTGTGCGCTTCTTCTCCTTGTCAAAATGGCGGCACGTGTGGTATCGATGAATGTACTGATTCTTACGAGTGTCTGTGTAAACCTGGATACATTGGTCAATACTGTGAGACCTGGTTCGGTACGTAGACTGAAGTAGACAGACTTAAACTCAATCTGCATGATTACTGAGATTTAGTGAAATCCTGGGTGAAATGTTGGCGGGCAACGGACGCGTCCAAACACATCCCCTTTCCTTTAAAAATGTGGAAGTTCCGCAGAAATCCGCTAAACGAGATTCTCAACAAAAAAACATCATAACACAGCATTTTACTCCTCAACAGGTTCAAATGGTTCCTCATCAAGTTACCCAGGTCATTCATGTCAGAACATCAAATGGACTGGACAAGACACTGGAGATGGTAGATACTGGATTAACCCAGGCAACACAGGAACCCCATTCACTGTGTACTGTGACATGACCACTGACGGAGGTAAGATATATTGGGTTAATACATGTATGGGCTCCCTGTGATACTGGATTAACCCAGGCAACACAGGAACCCCATTCACTGTGTACTGTGACATGACCCCTGACAGAGGCAAGATGTGTTGGTGTTGATGCATGTGTTGGCTCCCTGTGCTACTGGATTGACCCATGAAACAGCAGCAAACCCAAGTATCGTGTTTTACAGTTACAATCAATCTTTGACAGGAGGTTGGACTTTGATCAAGGATTTGACTTTACACCAGACTCCTCCAAGCGATAGCTATAGTGGGCTTGGGAGTTATCGTGGTATTTCTARTMCAGGAAGATATCAGTTCGTCTCACAACCTGCACTTCTGCAACTGAAACAAGAGATGGGGTTCACACAGTTACGGTACTACTGTCGTAAAGCGTCTGTTGGCAGAGTAGTTCACATCATGACGGCCAAGAATAACTTGGGATACGATGCTGTGAGGTATTTACCACGGTTTATCAACTATTCGATATCTTAGCACTATAGAAAAGATTCATCGCTGAAAGAGAAAGATTTGTCGTTGCTTTTCATGGTCACGCGCGCGGGAATTTTTTGTATAARTAAAGGTTCTGTTAGAGCAGTTTTTGTATGACTGTGAAATRTWCAGTGCCGCGTATGCGTACCTTGCGTGAACGTGATGTTTTCTAGAATTTTAATTGGCTGTTTTTTTCTAACGCAATATTATTGGCCTAGCAGTGCCGTGACTTTGGCATGACCATGACCATGTGCGCGCCGTCTTTGTGCCTATACTATTGATTGGATGGAAAGTAAATTCTTGATTGGTCCGGCGTATGCCTTGCCATGTCACGACCGCGTTCTATCCGCGAGCTTGTGTTTTCACTGCAGTGTGTTTTCGAGCTCATTGAGCTGGGGCGCTCCACTGCTCTACTTAAGGTAGTAATTAGCGATAACGAGGTCTTTTACTTGAGAAAAGATTGATCCCTATTTTTCTTTAAGTTTTTTTCGTGTGTATGCAAACCTATATCTTTTAACACAACAATCATATATAWGCAACTCAACAAGTTGATTACCTTACTGTAATATCCCACTCTTTTTCTTCAAGGTAGTAGTAGTAGTCTTGCTTTCGTGATACTAATATTACTAATAGTCATRTTTACAATATATTCCAAGGTACCTAATCGTCAAGAATTCCCCATATGCAAAAGCTTGTAAGTCATTCGTTCGTCTTCCTGATGACCAATCCCAGCTTGCAGCCAACTGTGCCAAATGGGGCCACAAAGGAGGAACTCCAAGTACCAATACATGGGGACATTCGCAAAGGACTGGCGAATGGCGACCATACAATCGTGTAGCTTTATGGCCAAATACACATGCGCTATCCTTTATCTCTGGTGACTATAGATGCGACGATGGCACCAGCGGCGGCAATCGCGTTGGGGATACCTATATGATGTTTGTGCGTTAACTTTTGGATTTGATTGAATGAGAAAAGACGTGRCCACAAATGATAAATATTTTGCTATGGCAACCGACACTAGAGAAAAACGTTTGCGCATTTGTGCCTTTCAGCGACACGAGTGAAAAACGTCTGCGCATGCTCTGAATCCGTATGCGAATTAGTCAAAACATATGTAAATTTGACTTTCAAACATGCCTGATAAATTGGACTTCATAAAGTGCCAAAACTTAGTGTCCATGCTTGAAACTTAGGACTAATTATTTCATATTGTGTTTGTTAATACAGTATCTTGGTGTGACAAAAGTATGCTCTCGAACTTTTTTGTATACTAGGAGCATAAACATCACTGATTTACTTCACATCTCTCTACCAATTTCTTGAATTTTATCTACATCGAAAGCCTAAATTATAATTGCCGTAATACAGGGGCGTATCCAGGGGGGGGGGGTGAAGAGGGGGACCGTAGCCCATCCTTT